TCATCAGCCCACTTATTCTACACTCAGACCAAGTTCTCAGATCTGAAAGGAACTTTGCAGCATCTCCCACAATGAATTATGTATTGAAAGTACCCTGTGGTGAACTAAATTTTGGAAATTAAGCACATCACCTCACCTATTTTGGCTTTAATAATTCAAAATCATATAATAAAAACCGACTTTTGGCAGAACAAGAAATAAAAACCCACTTTTGGCAGGACAAGTCAACCACTTATTCTTATTTCACCAATTAAATGCCTAAATTATTTGAGGAATAATAACTTTTTTTTTCTTTTTTGGCAGTAGAAGAAGCACAACCCGTGGGCATTCGGCAGAACTATGTTTCTTTCCAGCTCGGTACCTTTGCTAGGAAAATACTGTAAACTCCTCCATTACTGGATAGAGAAAGTCATTCTTTTAGAGAGTAACATCCCAAGATTACTCAACGTAGTTAGGCAGTCAAACCTGGACAATGAGTCTTCACAAGTCTAATAACTCTCTAGTACACTGTACTTCCACAACTTTGTACAATTTCCTTGCCTGCCCCCCCCCCAAGTATTCATCAAATATCTCACTTGTCTATTTCAGTGCCTCCTTCACTATTCCCTTTAAGGATGATTTCCTCATCATCTACTCATCCCCTTTCTGTCCACACACATCCTTCAACCTTCCAAGTTCTATCTTCCCCCACAGTCTTCTCTTACACTTCAGCTTATTCCACTACCCCTTTTCCAAAAACCTGTTGCACTTTCTTAGCATTAAGCACTCAAGCACCTGTTTCAAAACAGAAAGGTGCTGTACATACTATAGGTTTCTTTCTATTCTTCTGGTAGTACACACTACCTGCACATATCAAGCACTCCATAAAACCTGCTGACTGATAAAACAAATATAATTAATGGTGCATTTTAAACAACTGAATAAATGAGATCTGACCACAGTAAATTATGTAAGTCTATTAACACTGAATGTAATAAGTAAAACAAATTCTAAACAACCTATTTAGCCTACTAACATGTGAGCAAGCCCAAGAAATAAAGATCACATGAAAGTGTTGTGTCATCCTCTAATCACCAGAAATGGGTCTTCCTTTTTTTCTCACAAACCTACATCTGCTAATGCCACCAGTTTCATCTTTACTTTCTTGAGCAACTGTATAGAAGATGGTTACTCCCAGGATCCAGAGGACAACAGAGGAGAAAGGGGAAAATAATAAATGGTAAAGTCAAATTTCCAGCCATGGTGCTCAAAGAACTTCCTAAGCAAGGTTGCAGAGAAATCCAAATAATCGCAAAAGTTATATTGTGAAAAAAAAGTTATATTGTGAGCACATCTAAGTCATGCCCAGTAAGGTGACCCTAATCTTTCCGTTTAAACTTTGTTAGCTGGGAGATATATTGTTTGTTTTCCTTTTATAAATGAGGCATGATATCTGGGGACAATTACTCTCAGGCTATCATTCAAAGAACATCCAAATAAACAATTCACCATGCAAATGGTGACTCTACTTCTCAAATGCTATTGAAAAGAGAACCAAGTTAAACCTTAGCCTCCTCACCTACCCTCTCATCTATCAGGAGACTCTTCACAAGCACATACTTGAACTTCAGGGCACAATTACTCATGACAAGTGTCCCTGTAGAATATTAAATTCCCCCAGCCAGTGTCTTCATTGCCTGTAAACTACCCCCAAGGCTTTCATAATCTTCAATAAGAATTCAACAACAAAGAAATTGATCATTAAGCAAGTTTCACTCCAGTATTAGTAAAACCAAAGTTGGACTGGAAAAATTTGTTTCCATGTTGCAGTATGAGTTTAGAGTCTCTGCTTTAAAAGGGAGACTGAAATCAGCTATTCAGGATAAAAATCATGAGTAATGCTTCCATTACCACTCAAAGTATGCTACTCCACAGTTAGGCAGAACTCTGCTGCTCTGAACCAGCATTAAGTTACCTGCCTAGCTTTGCAAGTCAACATTTCTGATTTCTTATCATAATTGAAAACAGCCTTAATACCTGGTGACAACTGTTTTAATTTCTAAACAGAAGGCACACAAACAGCTTATACGTAGGGTAACTTTGAGGAACTGTAATAATCCTTATCACTTATAAGCACATAATATACACTTTTGCCTAAGTTGCCTGTATCCTAATAAGCTTTCATATTTCTTGATGAGTTCAGTAAATGTTCCAGAAAGAGTGCAGTAATATACCAGAATAGTCTTATTTTCACCATCTCTAAACACATATATTTAACCACACAGGATGGCCACTAAAGTGAGAGCAGCAAACGGATCTTTCATTTCCCAAAGGGAATCTTTATGAAGATTTTTGTTCCCACAATTGTTAATCTTTACCATTTTTTAAAATGGTCTTCCTATAAGGTTGAGCCTCTTAAATGGAAACAAAATATCGGATATTAGGAAACTGTTAATCATTTATTTAGATGAGATACTAGTGTTTGAGGATTTGGATTTCTTTTTGTTGTTGGTTCTTCCTTAGAGTCTTTACCATTCAGAGATATAGAAACATTTAAATTCTCTTAGATCACATCTGCAAAAGAGGGAGTAAATGGGATTCAGAGGAAATGACATGAGACATGAGTCAGTAGTCTTTGAAAATTGGGTATATTTTTCTATTTTTATATATTAATTTTTTCTATCAAGTTTTAAGGTAACTTTTGAAAAATCAGGACCTATTAGACTCAGAGATACACACGTGATATTTAGTTATGAAGGTAGCAATCAGCTAACCTAATTAGCCTGGGTGGGAAATCCAGAAAAGTTCCAGAAAAAATAAAGAAATGAAATGTCATTAATTTATTATTTTTAGTCAGCCCCTCTTCAACAGACCCATTTATTAAAAAATAAAAACATCAAAAACAGCTGCCTAAGTTATAGCTTTACTTGGTCTTCAAAAATGTTCATGGAAATCAGTAGGTCTTTTTTGCTCACAGATAAGGACCAGCCACACAGTAGCCACTAATACCAAGCACAAAGCAGAACCACTTGTAACCAGCTGTTACAAATACTGTTCCAAACCAAGCCCAGCTAGCAATGATGAATCAAAATCTAGGCAGTATTTTCACTCCGCCATTTCAATTCCTATTTTAAAGCTAGAGAGATACAGAGAGAATGAGACAGAAAGAGGTCACACTGTACCTCCCACCTTGGTAAAGTTAAAGTCACAGTTAGAATTACCTTAATAAGTGGTGAATCTCAATGCTCAAAACAACTGCTTAAGACTCACTTTAGCCAGTAAAGCACCAAGTTCAAGAACCAAAGAGGAACTTATTCACTCACTCACATCCAAGTCCATGGCTACCAATACCACCAGCAACCCCTCCTTCCTTCCCCAACCACTGGACACCTCCCACCACCAGCATCTTCAAGACAGTTCAAACTGCAAAGAACACCACTGCAAGAAGGCTTTTTAAAAATATATACATATATTTAAGTCTGACACCTAAATACACAGAACCAGAGATCTAAACCTTTACAGTTACTGAATGTGAGATTTAAGCTGTCATTAACAAAGCTTGCATTTGAGCATGTCAAACAATACCAGAATAAGAGCAAAAAACCCAAAAGCAAAGGAGAAAGTTTCCTTCAGGAACCTCAAACCATCACATCAGAAACCAACTGCTATCTTGGTTTTGTTTAAGCCAGCCACACCAACTCTGCAGAATCTCAAAGCCTTTGGTATGGTGTGTTGGGGATGGGGACAGGGAAGCAGGGGGATGGGAGGGGGGAGGGGGAAGCAGGTTGTATTTATAGAGGCCAATGACCAATGCCAGCACCAAATCAGATCTGTCCAGGAAGAGTTTCCCCCTGACCTCTGGACAGTCTCTCTCTAGCCACCCTTCCTCCACCCCCACCCCCTAGCACACACACACACACACACACACACACACACACACACACACACACACAAGCTGGTTAGCTGGCAGGAAAATGTGCATTTGGAAATCAACACTGCAGGTGCCCACAGCATAAAGAAACACACACACACACAGAAATACACACGCACAAAGCCAATCAGGAAAAAAAGAAGAAAGAAAACACGCAAAATAAGGAAAGGGAGAGGGTGACAAGTCCTTCAGATACCAGCTAGGATTTAATTCCTTCCTACCACCAGTCCTCCCTGGTGTACCTTTCTCTGTCTTTTCACCAAATTGCTCATGTACAAACACACTCGCACACACACGCACACACTCATACACACACGTGTGTGTATGTGTATAGGGGTAGGTATAATTAACCCCTTCTGAAACAGAGCTCCATACAGCACAGAGCTGTTTCATCCTTTCCTCTTCTTTCCCCTCCCTCTATTCTCCCGACCAGGAGAAAACGCCCCCTTCCCCAATCGCAAAAATAAAATAAAATCAAAGACAGGGGAAGGGAGTGCCACGAAAAAAAGAGGGAAAAAAACCACCAACAACCAACAACCCCATCCGTCTCCGGACCCGGGGACACCCGGGAAAGGTACATCCTCTCTCGATACACACACGGACATATGGCTCTGTCGAAAGCACACAGAGAACCGTCCACAGGCGCCCCAAACCCAGCAAAGCGACTTCCACCAGCCAAGGAGCCATGATTGGGGAGGGAGAGAAGGATGGGGTGGGGGCAGAGCTTTCCGGGGAGGGGGGCGCATTGTTGTGATGCCTGAACCCCTTTCTCTCTGCCCATCTGCTGCGGAGGGGGTGCAGGGAGGGGGCGCAGAGGAAAGGCGAACGAGTGCCACAAATCCAGGAGAGCAGCAAACGGCTCGGCGATCCCCTCGCCCGCGGCTCCGCCGGCGCCCCGGGCTCCCCTCCACTCGCCCCCACCCCCAACAATAAGATCTCCGCCTCGCCAGACCGACAGACCGACAGACCGACAGACCCACTAGACAGACCGGAGAGCGGCGCGGGAGGCGGCAGAGCCGGGCGCCGCCGAGTGGGGTCGCGCATAAAGGGGAAACGGGGGTGGGGGGGTGGGGAGGGGGGTCCCCCTTACCTCCAGCGCTTCAAAAGTGACAAAGCTGGTCATGGCAAATCCATCAATGATGTCCTCTTCGGCCGACGTGGACTCCCGCCGCTTCCTCCGCGGGGGTCTGGGCCGGGACGGGGCGGAGGACGGGGGCTTCCCATTGTCTTCCTTGTCGGAGCCCGACGACGAGGCGAGCGAGGGCGCCCGGGTCCGGCCGGCCCCGCCGCCGCCGGCCGCGCCGGCCCCCAGCCCGCCCCGGGAGCGCCTCTCCCGGTCTCGCTGCGACCGCGACCGCCGCTTCTTGCGGAGTCCATGGCCCCGCGTCGGGCCGTCCATGGCTCTGCCGCGCCGCCGGGGTCTCCCCGCCCGCCGCCCGCCCGCCAGCCACCGGCTCCGGCCGCACGGGAGGAAAAAAAAAAAAAAAAGAGAGAGAAATTGACACGAGCCCTTCCCTCCTCCCGAGGGGGGGCTCGGCTTCCCTCGGCCCCGAGCCGGGCGCGAGGGGAGACGGCGGCCGAAAGAAGGGAGCGGGGAAGAAAGAGCGGAGAAAGGGAAGGGGGGAAGGGGCGGAGAGAGGGAGGGGGCCGGCCGCGAGGGCGACAGGCGAGGCGCCCAAGTGCGGGGCTCCCCGCCGCACCGAGGGGTCGGTCGGAGCTGCCGGGCGCCGCGCCGAGCAAAGTAATGGCTGAAGGCACGGGTCTCCTTCCGAGGGGGGCGCCGGGGGGGGGGAATAATAATAACTCGCCCAGCAGGCAATAAATCAGAATAGCGGAATGCTTTGATCAAGAGACGGGGAGGCTCCGGGGAGCCCTCCCCGCGGCCATGCGCCGCGCCCCCGCCCCGTCCACGCCGGCGCTGCCCCCCCACCCCCACTGGAGACGCGGGTTCCGAAGAGGGCCGCGGGAAAGTGGGGGGCAATGAACTTCACCCGCCCCTCGGGCCGGAACACCCCCCGCCGCCGCCGCCGCCGCTCGCTGGCTCGCACACGCCTCCGAGGAAACTCACTCGCAGGCTCCCAAATTGTTCGGCGAGGCGCCCAGGGCGGCTGGCGCGCGACCCGACCGGCACGAGACCCCCCAGAGAGGGCGGCGGGGCCGGGCGACCATTCGGAGGGGAGAGGGCGACACCGGCCGGGCCGGAGGAGGCGGGCGCTGGACGAGGATGAAGGAGGATGCGGGAGCAGTTCAGGGGGGTTTGCTTGTCGGTGCCGGAGGGGGACGGAGAGGGCGCCGGGCGCCCGAGAAGCCGACCCTGACGCGGCCACCCACACCCCCTCGCCTCCAAAAAAAAATGTTGTTGTTGTTGTTGTTCTTTCTTTTTTTCTTTCCTTCCCCTCCCAGTCCCGGAGAAGAGGTCACCCTTCCTCCAGAAGGGGAGGGGGCGAGTCCGTCGACGAGGAAAGCAGAGGGAGAGCTCCAAGGCGAGAGACACCACCGGAGTGCTTGTGTCGCCGCCGCCGCCGCCGCCTCTTCTCTTCAGCCGGAGGGAGAAGCGCCGCCAGGAAGCGCCGGGAACGCCGGTCTCGCCGCCGCTAACGCTGCCGCCGCCGCCGCCGCGAGAGCCCCGAGCCGGAGGGTGCACGGCGTGTCCCCGGGCGGCTGCAGCGGGAGCCCGGGCACGGCCCCATCCTCCGCCCGCCCGGCTCGCTCAGCTCCCGCTCCTCCCCCGCCGCGGCCGGCCCACCACCACCGCCGCCGCCGCCGCCGCCGCCGCCGCCCGCCTCAGCCCCGTCGCGCGCGCGCGCGCGCGCCCGCGTCCCCGCCCGGCCCGCGCACCGCGCGCTCCCGGCCCCGCGGCCTCGGCCGGCTGGATCACGTGGCCCGCCGGGCTCCCTCCTCCCCCGCCCCCTCCCCAGTTGTAGAGTGTGTAGACAGCAAAAGGCTGGGGGCTGGCCGCGCTCGCGAGCCCAGGGCATGCGCGCTGGGGCGACCGGGCCTGCGCACTGGGGGCGGCGGGGGGGGAGCCGGGAGGGGGCGGGGGGCGCGCGAGGGGGGCGGGGGCCGACCCGCCCGCGTGGGGGTCGGCGGCGAGCGACCCCCGCGGAGTTGGCGCGCCGGGGCTCGGCCAGACGAGCGGCGGGGGACGCGTGCGGGCCGCTGTCTCGGTCCGCTCCGCGCGCCCTGCACCGCGCCCCCCCCCACTCACCCCCCGAACGCTCCTCGGGACACTTGTGCCTCGACCTCCCACGCCAGGCCCGCCTCTCTCGCCTGCTCCGCGGCCCTCCGGATGCCCTTCCCCGGGGCGACCTGCCTGGCGCGGGAAAGAGGGGTTTTTAGGGGGAACGGCTCGGGGCTCCCCTCGGAGGGGGGCGTGACTGGAGGCCACGGGGAAGGCGGCGGGTGCCCGAGCGCGGGCCTCTGCTCCGCGCCGCGGCTTGGGGAGAGCCTCTGGGCAGAGTTCGAAACTTTTCCCCCACGTGGTGGCACAGCGCGTGGCCGAGTGACCCCGCGCCCACACGACCTCTGGGCCCTGCTCCCTTTCAAGCGGAGCCCCCTTGGGATGCTCGAGGCAGCAACGGGAGCCCGGCGCGCGAGGCCAAGGAGCCGCTGGGGGCCGAACTTGAACCTGGGCTGCCGGGGCGGGCGAGGGGGGCGGGGCCGGGGAGGCGGCGGGGATGCCTTTAGACGCCGGGAACTCTGCCTGAACTCTCCACTGACTCCTTTGGGGTGGGGGAGGGCTGGAGGGTACCCGGGTTTTCGGATCACTGCCCCTCCTCCCGCTGCAATGTAGTTGAGGCGATCTATTTAGTGCTAAAACGCAGCCTACCACCCAGAATTGATCGATAAAGGCGACCAACCTCTGTGGGTAAAATAACCACTTTTTTTTCTGGGAGCATTGGACTTGGTCCCTATCCGAAAGAAGCCTACAACCTTTTCTCAACCAAGCTGTTAAACACCCGCTTCACTTTCTGTCCAGGCACAGAAACAAGGCGGCAGATGATCCCATTGCTTCCAGTAGACTACACTTGGGGAGAGAAAAAATAAATAAAGGAACCGCAATAGACTTTTGTAACTACATCGCTCGCACTAGGTCGGGTACCATTTTAGACACTTTGTGCATGGTTTCTCTTTGGATTCTAAATCTGCAAGTTTTCGTCGGATTACTGGAAGTCAAGAAAAGTAAGAACATTGGTAACCTAACATACCCAATATTGATTAATTTATTCAATGAACAATTATTAGGTTCTACTATGTACCAGCCACCTTTCTAGAAGATGGGAATGCCGCTATAAACAAGAAGGGTTTTGGATCTTCCCTTCTAGTTTGAACGTTCTGAAAAGCAATATGAAAATATTGCCCTTTCTGGCAATTCAATGATCATTGCCTTGTTTTAACTCACTCGTTTAGTGTCCCCAATCCTGGACCCCATGTCTGAACCTTTAAATCTTTCAGCGGAATGTTAGGAGAAGGCCAGGAGCAAGAACAAAAAGGAGCAACCAGTGAACTGTGACTAAGACTTGAGCTTTATGCCTATCCAGGGAACAAACCATTTGACCTTAGGCAAGATTCTTAAATGACTAGTTTTCTTATCTGTAAATCAAAGAGGACTATTTAAATGTTCAGAAAGTTCCCTTTCAGGTCTAACACTGACCTTGTCAAAGATGACATCTTTTCAAATTGTGTGCTTTATTTCTTGACAACAGTGACTGGTATATCGAATTTGATTCCGCTTTTTTAGGAACACAATGCCACCTTCCACATTTACCAACATAAAATAGCTGTGCTGTCCTTAAAGCAATTAGCTAAAACTGTATGTCCTGTTACTGTTTCTTCTGTATTCACTTCTATCTTATTTTCCCAGCTATTGCTGAAATCTACCCTCAAGTTATCAAGCTCATACCTACCACAAAAAAAGGTGATTTATAATTGAAAGCAGGGTCTGGACTTATTTTTAGGGTTCTTAAGAAAGTAAAAGATGTCAAATTCTGATAAGCTTTAAGAAAAACTGAGACCAATGTTGCAATTACAGTCACTTTTCAACAACTTTGGGGGTTGGGTTGAGGAAAGTGTGAAATTGGCAGATATAATAAAATGTATAATATTAGTGACTTTCCAGAGTAGCCTTTGGCAGTCCTGTCTTTAAAGAGTAATATCTGGTAGGGGGGAAAATGGATGGTAATACTCTGCATCCAAGAACCTTGCCTCTGGCAAGAGTAATTTGCAAATGCATTTTGGGATAATGTTTGAATGATTTTTTTTTCCAGGGTCCAAGTATAATGCACACCAGAATTGGTAATGCCATTTGGGTTAGAGTTTCAGCTTTCTTTCATCAGAGAATTAAAATTTTTTGTGCATTATATTGCCCATATTTGTTTCTCATTCTTCCATAGTGTTCAAATTGTTAGAGCTATTGATTAATAACCACCATATAAAAAGCTAAAAACATTTTATGTGAGACGTTGTTCTTAGAAGCATTAAAATTGTATCTAAGTCATAAATTTTAAGAAAGTTTTTATTCTACCTATGTAACAGTTGAGTAAACTGAGTCATAAAGCTAAGTATTGGTGGCACAACTGTTTAGGGACAAGCTGAATTTGGTCTAAGTGACTCCAAAACTTGTTCTTTTAGCCAGTTGTGCCAAGATGCAATCCATCAGAATAACTCCTCAAGAAATAAAATCCTGTTAATTAAGTACAATATCGACACGGGTTTAGTTCCCAGTAACCCACATGGTCCTCATAGACCCACTAGAATGATCCCTGAGTACAGAGCCAGAAGTAAGCCCTAAGTACCATTGGATATGGCCTTCAAACAAAATTAAAAGTAACACTATATATTATGATAGTGGAACTCTACATAGTAAACCAGAGTAAAGCATAGCATGTCATCAGATTTCTTACTAGGTAGAAAGCTAAGCTTAAACTCATAATGGCCAATTTGAATAATCTCATAATACATAACAGCATGGTCTTAGATGAATCCTTTTCCTAAATATTATAGTTGATAATGAATAGAGCTACCAATACTATTGCAAAAGAGAGTGCAGTTTAATTTTAATTTTATTTTATTTTATAATTTCTGGCCACATCCAGCAGATGCTCAGCGGTTACTCCTGGATCTGCACTCAGGAATTACTCCTGCTGGTGCTAGGGGGACCATAAGGGATACCCAGAATCAAAGTAATGGGCAAGGTGTAAATATAGATAGTACCCGCTGTCCTGTATCTCTGGCCCCAGAAACTGTATGTTTAGTAGAGAAAATTCTCAGTTTTGAGATATGCAACAGAAGAAAACACGTTTGTATTCTGGAATAAAATACTTAAAGTAGTCTGGAGATAGCTTCGTATAATCTTTAGATGAATTGATGATTAATTTTCAAACTATGTCTGAAACATTCAGTCTTTGCTAGAGAATTCTATTATATCTCAAACCCTAAA